TGGCGTGGTCCGCGCACCTTCAGAGTTCTCAATAACTTTGGGATTCTGACATCAGTAACAGACTCAATCAAAGGTAATCACAGCATAACCTTACCTTCCAAAGCCAACAACAAAATCGTTAAGAACATCCACACACTAGTCTAATTCTTACTTTTCCCTCCATGACAGCAACACAGGAGTTGGTTGTACCCAAATCAATACCAATGACATCATTTCCAGCAGGTTTTGAACTGCATTAAAGGAAATCAAGAAAGAGCAATCACATATTTACAAAAAATAAACAATAATAAGAATAACCCAAACCATGGTTACCTGAAAGCTCTAGAAAAACTTGTCCAATTAATTCCCGCTGAGGTCTTGCCATTACTAGTAAGCTGCACAACAACCAATTAAACATGAGGCACCATCCATTTCATTCACTGGGTATATCATTCAAATACTTAGCCAAAGAACCGAAATAACCAGTTTCACGTAACCAAATCTCAAGCAAAATTCAAGAAATCCCAGTAACTAAAGCTTAAACCAACTTGATCCAAAGAGACACTTGGCTAACAAGTTAAGAGAATTAAGCTATCAGAGACACAAAATCAATCAAACAAATATGTATATGGTCATAGATTAAGGGGCAATACTAACTATCTAAAGAGGCTAAATTATCAACTTATATATAATCGGTTCCAATTAAATTCCAAACAGATTAAGAACAGTACCATCCACCTGTAACTATATAAAGAGGCTAAATTATCAACTTATTTATATATAATCAGTTCCAATTAAACAAATAATATATGCAGAAGTTCAATTTAAATGAATGAAAAGAAAAACCCAAACATATCTAATTTTAGTAACCGAGAATATCTCTGTTTTCATGAACTTTCTCAACAACTAGAAGAAAACAGCAGGAAACAAATCACCAAAACTGAACATGAAAAGTTTTAAAGCTGGAAAGGCTAAATTATCAACTTATTTATATCTAATCGGTTCCAATTTAATGAATACAAAAAAAAACCCCAAACAGATCAAAAGATACGAGAATATCTAGATAAATTTCCGTTTTCCTGGACTTTCTCTAACAACCAAACAGAAGAAAACACCAGGAAGCACAGATCAATCAAACAAATCACTAAAACCGAACATGAAAAGTTTTAAAGTAGATATAAAAGTGTTAGAAACTTACGCATCTATGGGCGAAGAGAGAAGCAGATGCGACGTCACGTCGTCGAAATGAACGGAACAGAGCTGCCGTTGCCATCGGTAATAATTACAAAACACAGGGAGAATCTGAGGGTGGTCTGTGGGTTAATATAAAATGTGAGGAGAAGAGGTTTCTAGGGTTTAGGGTTTTGTTGAGTTTATTTTATGAAGGGGGGAAATAGGATTGTTGAGATTTTATGATAAGAGATAGAACGTTCTGGATTAACAACTGAACGGGCTCGACGGCCCGCTTTTTAGCCTTTCCTATCCCCACGGTTAGTGCTATGCTACGTTTATGAATCCAAATGTGATGCTCAGTATAAAGCCACATCATTTTCTAATATTTTTATCAAATTTGGTCTTACCAAATCTGAGAGACACGTCATTTTCTAATACTCTTACCAATTTTGGTTTTTATTAGGCTTGATTTCCAGAAATATGGTTACTGGTTTTTTTCTTTTTTAAATTGGGAAGACTAATTTTGAGTGTTGCCATAATATTACATAGGATAAGATTTGAATTTACACTTTAAAATTTAAATTATATATCTATTAAATATTATTTTATAAAAATCATCACATAAATAAAGCAAATTAAGCTCTAAACTTTATGAACTCAAATTTTTTACTTTTATTAGATGCATGATTTGTCGCAAAGTATTCATAATCTTAAGGGGTATCTGGTTGAAGAGAAATTAAAATTTTTTTAAAAAATATTATTATTGGGTATTCAAAATTCTTTGATTTGAGGTATTGATTTTTTAAAAAAATTTCAGATTTTAAACGATACCCAAAAATTTTAAAATTAAAAATCTAACCGTTTATGTGATATTTTAAAATTTTAAGAAAAATTTACTCTTGTCACACATTTATTTTGAATAAAAATTATTTTTTATTTTACTTTTTTAAAAATCAACATATAATAATGAAATTAAAATTTTTCTTTAACAAACGTCGCATTGAAAAAAAAATCATAAATATTGTATTTTTTGAAAGTTATTGGATAATATTTGAGTTTTTTTTTTTAATATTATATACTATATTTATAAGAAACAAAATGCAGTAATTATAATTTTTTATCTGAAAATTTTTTATTTTTCTACTCAAACATTATGTTTATAACTTTTAAAGCAAAATAATTGTAATTATTTATTGTATTTTGTGAATAAAAAATAATATTTGACTACTCGTAATTTTTTTTTTTTGTATTTTCTCATTTGAATATTACTTTTAAAAACTTTAAAACATAATAATTATATTTATTTATTGTGTTAACTAAAAATACAGTATTTGTTTCCTCTCGATTTTCCACGTGTCATTTTAGTTTTTCGAAGTAGTTGATATACAATTATGAGAATCTGCATCACTGGCACTGGCTCCTTCGTTGCATTAATGGGATCCAACACTATGAACTGAAGGGGACCAAATAAAATGTACAAAAAACAATTGGAAATGGGACCCATGCGATGGATCTAAAAAGTTTTTTAGTTATCTACTTGTAATATATACAGTGTTTGTAAAATGAATAATTACCGCGTTTTAATGAAAAATTATTTTTGGTTCAAAAAAAAGGTGGCCTAAGTGGGGCAACCACTGCTGGCAAGTGAAGCTCGCTTGAGGCCAGTCATCGACCGCTAGATCAGTTTTAATGTAGATAAACGCACTAATTATTTTTGTAATTTTTTTAAAATATGTAAAAAATTCAATTATTGTGTTTTTATTTTTAATAAATACAGCAATTGATCATTATAATTTATTTAAAATAATCAAATATTGTAATTTTTAAAAATAAACATAATAATTATTTATTGTAATTTTTTGAAATAATCAATTATTGAAGTTATTTGATCATAAATGTAATAATTACACATTATAATTTTATTAAAATAATCAATTATTATTTTATTTAAAAAAACGTAATAATTGTTCATTATAATTTTTTTAAATAATCAATTATTACCTTTTTAAAATATAAACACAATAATTATACATTATAATTATTTTAAATTAATTAATTAATGCATGTTTTAAGCTAAACGTAGTAATTTTTCATTGTAATCAATTACTACATGAAATTAACACAATAATTATTGACTATTTTTTTAATAATTAATTAATCAAATATTACATTTCAAACGATTTGAAATGTATTATTTGTTGATTATTTTATTTGATAAATTATTGTATTTATTTTGTAATGAAAGAGATTATAGTAAAAATATATGATTAAGTAATCTCATAAGTGTCTTATAAATATACCACCAAAATTTTCTTTCAAAAATACCGAAATAATAAATATCAATTTTAACCTTTAATAAATGATAAAAATAACCTTAGTAGTTTATACACTTCAAAACCACCTCATAAATATTAAAAATAGATTTTCGATAGTTATATTGTGTTTTTGAAAATCTATTTTGGAGAAAGCAATATAATTATTAAAAATGAATTATTAAGAATAAAATACAACTTTCGAAAATCAATTTTTGAGAATTTTTTAGGTTTCAAAAAATAAAATTTTGATAGCCATCCTGTATTTTTGGAAATTCATTTCCAAGAATACATAATTTTTTAAAATATATATTTAATTATAAACTCTTGATAAAAAGAAAAGCAGGATATCTAATCTTTGAACCACTAAAAAATGTTATTAGCAGATTGACAAATTCAACAGTTAGGACTGATGATTAGAAGATTAAATATTGTTGGACTTATTAGTCTGCTGACGACATTGGCAGCATCAATGTTCTATAGAGTGTTTAAACTTGGATTAGCATACATGTATAAACATGAGTGATTGATGTGCCTATTCTTACTTGATCATACACGTAAATAGAAGAGACGTGTTAGTTCTCAAGCATACATGAACATAAAAATGTTTTTGTCCTGACTTAGAAAACTAAGAACTTCATTTTGTTCATGCAAAACCAAAAAACTAGAAAACCAAAAAATAGTACTCTCGATATGCTAAAAGCTCAAGAGAAAGAATAAGTTTATGCCATACATGTTGAGAATATTGATTTCAGTTTCATTTGCCTGCATAATTAAGTAAATGAGTTCATAAGTGTATGATTAAAAATTTTCAGTGATTAAAAATGAAATCGAACTTTTTAAAAATAAATATCCGAGAAGATTGAAAGCTTTTTGGATATTCATTTTGAAGAAGACTCAAGACTTCTCAAAAATGGATATCCAAGAAGATTTAAAACTTATCAAGAATAAATATTCGAGAACCTTTTAGTTTGCTTGGAAATAAACATCCGAAAAATTTGAGGTTTCTCAAAAATAATTATCCGATAAACCTTTTTAAGAAACTCGACTTCAGAAAGTGAAAAGAGAAAAAAAAAAAAAAAGGTAGGAATGGATAGTAGAAAGTGAAAGATATAGTGTATTTAGTAAATATAGAAAATTAAGTTTTGAATTTGTGATGTATTTAGAAGTAAGATGTATATAGTAATAAATGAGGGGTAAATAGAATTCCCTAATCTCATATTCCCCCAACCAAATACAAGAATTTAAAAATAAAATGCTATAAAAAATCACATATTCCCTTTAAATCATACTTTCTCTCGAAATTTAAGATTTCATAATTCAAATGATCCATAAATGTTTTTCCTCATATAATAGCTAATACTTTTCAAAGTTAAAGTAAACTGCTGGCATGGCAATTTCTATGCCATCCAGTCTGTCTGCTCACAGGAAAATTTATTGGGTGTTTTTCCTTTGCATTCCATTTCTTAATTCCCTTTGTTTAGAGCTCTTATCAATAGTTGATGCTTTTTAGAGGAAGAAACAGACAATGGCTTCTAATCAACAGAACTAATAGAATATGGTGCTGAAAATGTGCTGTTTTCAAGAACTAAAAATATGCCTTGAAAGCTTCCTCTGAGCCTGAGCTATATGGTTTGGTAGTTGCCTTGGGCACACGACTCCTAATGGACCAGGTAAAACATGAAACTAGAGAAATAAACAATGTTCTATGTTACTATTAAGACATTTGAACAGGTAGTGGATGGTGATTAATCCACTTAATTATACTGAAACTGAACCCAGGATGGACGCCAACTACACCCTTTCATTTCGTTTTTAACACTTCTCAAGCAATTGTTAGTACATTGGGTTTCAAACTTCAAAAGTTGAAGTCAAATTCCTGCTTTCACAGGATAATACATTGAGAAGCCATCAAATATACAAAGGAGAACTTAAAAAGTAAGTCACAATTACCATCAAATTGAGATCGCAATAAAATTCAAAATGTGTGTTTTTGTTCAGTCTAACTTTAAAAGAATAACCTGTACAGTAAACCTTCAAAACAAAAATGATAAAATATACAACACAAAGGGCAAAGATTAAGATTCACCTCTAATGAAATATGACTAAGTGATGAACAGAGTATTCCCATTTTCACCCCAGCCAAATAATAATATTGACAAATGACAACTCTAAATGTGCATACAATGGTACACTACATGTGATTGATGAAGCAGCAAAAATCAATTAAGGTTAATTTAATGAAAATACTATGATAATGACTTTCTTTAACTCTGTCAAATCCTGAGGAAACCACCTCTCTCTTGAATTCCAATGGTTCTCTTGAGAAATGATCTTCTGTTATGAGACCAACTTTTTCTCAAAGACCTCCTCCTATGCCAGGCAGTCAATCGGGTATAAAGAGAAGGGAAAATAAAGCATAGCAACACTAGAAGCAGCATTGCTACACAGATAACCATGACATTGCGGAAACCATCTTTTAGTGCCGGGTCCTTTTGCACAGTCCATGGAACTCCACCCACATTCATACCAAACACTAAAATGTTCAACAAAAGGCAAAGAGTTCAGTGTTGCCACCTAAGATCTATAAATAAATCAGAGATCGTATAATAAGGGAAAGGTAGACAAAAATAAAAGTATTACCTCCAGTGATGACAGATAAAGGAAGGAATATTATAGAAAGGAAAGAGAGATAATAGAGTTTTCTGTTAATTTGCTCAGACTGCCAGCTATCCAAACCAGCCTGAATTGCAGTTACACGATTTGCTAAAAACCCTACATTCTCTTTCAGCCTCCTCAAGCGTCCAATCAGCTCTTCAAGGGAGTTAATGTCTTCACTAGCAAACCAATGTTTGGAAGAACATTTTTCCTTGACTCGGGGAAATACTTGCTCCCCATGGGCAATCACCTGCATTTTGGAGAAGAGACATAAGCACAACCTATCATTGCACACCCAATAAACCAAAACTCAAAATAAATGGGAGTTTCAACCAAATCACATCCCTGTGGATGACTCAGAAAATGTGTCAAGCACAGCCAATCATTGGATTTTCAATAACCCTCAAAAGTGAAATCCTTAATGGCTATGAAAAAACTAAAGCAATTTCAACCCAATAATATGTGGTTTGACAAGGAGATGACATCCATCACATCACCAGAAAGGGGTTAAACTTCCACGCTGAAGGGACCTCATTGAGCCCTGCCCAGCATGTCTTCGTGCCTTGCTGCTTTTTTAACTATGTCTCGTCAATGGATTCCTCAAAGGCAATACCTAAGTTAATGAATTGACCACCAAGCAACTTGTGTGTTTTCTGCACTCTTGGCAATTTAGAAAACCAGCATGAAAGGGAAAGTACCTGCAGGAGACGTTGCAAATTTAGGTGCATTTTGGGGAATCTTCTATCATCTAGCATCTCTTTCTTTAAAGCAAATCCACCTGAGATAAAGCAGATAATTACGACTTTATCTAATGATAACTTCATTACCAAAATAAAGCATGCAACGTTTAAAAGTTTGAAATATAAACTTAGGAATGAGCTAAGAAGGCACAAGAAAACAAAAATGAGAAATACCATGCTTCTCATATCTCAAGTGGAGAGCATATATACGGAAAAGCTTACTTGCCAATGCAATTATAAATAAGTACTAAATGCATTAATGCCTCTAAAGTCCTAACTTTTGCTCAAAGAGGTTACAGGAAGTTCCAAGGATGGTTTGAAGGAAAATGTAAATAAATGGTATTGATCCTAAGTATTCAGACAGTATAATGCCCTAAAGTTCATAGCAAAATGTTCACATTTACAGTTTAAATTGGATCTACGTTCACAATCTCATTTTGTGTCAATGAAAGTCTTAAAACCACTTATGCCCATATGAACTTGAAATATGGAATTCAAAACTGTTTCAGTCCGTAGGACGGAAAGCTATAAACTAATTTAACATACAAAGAATTAGGCAAGTGTTTATTCAGACGGGGTGAATAAATTCTGTTGCATGAAATGTACCTCTATCCAATTCAAGCTCTACCGAATCCAGCTCCATCTCAAGTTTAGTAACAACATCTTGAAGGTGATCCACATGCGTGTCAAGGATGTGAACTACAAGGTTGGAGACGGACTTAGGAACAGGATTATCAGCCTCCTCAGAGTGATTCATTGTCAACAAGAACTCGAGAACATGTTCTTTAATAACAATCCCACTTCCTTCCTTCCTCTCTCCTCTATAAGAAGATGGACTTTCAACACTAGGAATCTCTGAAAGAAGAGATTGACCGACTGGTGAGAAACCTAATCTGGGAACACGTCCCAAAGACACGGTAATCACTGAACTCTCAGTAACCCTTGCAGCTAGTCTAAATGTAAAGTTACTGGAGGGAGGGCCAGGTGAATTAACCCTAAAGACAAGCGCTCCATCAACATGTCCGCAAAATGGCCCATTGCTAACAAGTGAGAGAATGCCTTGAAGCTTTAAAGGTGGACAAAGAACATCTATAAGGTATTGTGCAGATTGAGAGAGTTTCTGTTTCCCTTTCGGAAGTTCTACATGGTACCAACAAAACTCCTTGCCACCACCTTCAGCAAGATCCCACTCCTTATTATAATAATTTCCAAGACCATCAAAAATATATGCTTTCTGTTTCACCATACCAGGAAAATGTGTTCTGTGAAGATGATTTTCCCCGATTGGAATATTACCAGAGTATACTCTAACCAATTCCTCCATATCTCCATCTCCAGCAGGTTCTTCCTGAGCTAAATCCATAACTTTTTATTCAACTACCTTTGACCAATAAAGTTAACAAAATACAATGAGTTTGATCAGATTGTACAACTCAGAAATGTCTAATTCTTCTATTCAATCCAATGGGGTTTCAGATCATTCAAAGAAAAGCTGCTCCTTGAAGCTAAACTGTAAATTTTCAACAGCAACATCACATCTTTTATCAATCCAAATTCAATTATATACATGAAAAGGGGTGATAAAATGAATGGCTTCAAAAACAAAGCAGAAGCCACTCTTGAGATCCAATAGATACACACCGAGATCAGGATTATTCAACAAAACTTGCAACAAAACCAATTGGCGTTCTACTGCAAGCCAAAAAAATCTGAATTTTACCATTTACAAATCCCATTAACACAATATCATGCAATTTTGAAACATTTCCATTGCCAGAAACTCCAAGATAATTTGCTTACCTCAATAAAAGAATCTTGAAAATGAGGAATATCTTGGCATAAACAAGAAAACCCAGATCAGAATAACCAACGGCGGTTGAAACCTACCCAGAAAAACATCAAGAAAAAGATCCAAAAGTCTTCTGTGTGGCTTTATTCAAAGTAGTTTAACAACAACCAGACATAACACGATATTGAATAATTCCAATTAAGAATATTTTGGAAAAAAGGAAACTGCGGGAGAAATCAAGTAGATTACAGTATTCGATTAAAGGAAAAGGTAGACGTGCGTTGTTGTGGTAGTAGTTTCTCAGAAGCTTCCTATTTACAATAATCAAACTCCCACCAAATTTTAAAAATTTTTTTAAAAAAGGTCAACCAATACTAATCACGTTATTGGCTCAGTCATCCTTACTACTTCAAGACGTAGTACGAAAATAATAAAAAATAAAAAATATATTTTTTGTTTAATATATAAATATACATAAAGGCCATTGAATGAATTTTAGCTTTTATTATTCTAGTTTTAGGTGTGCAGTCGATTTGATTTTGACCTGAAAGTTGATTGTGTGAATGAAACCTTAAGATTATTGGCCGAAAAGAAAACCCACCAGATTTGGTAGAAACTGAAAGATTGTACTGAATTGTTTGTGGAGTTTCGGATGTCTTATGTGCCTTTCTATTTGTATTTCCATTTTTCTTTTTTGGTCTAAATTTGCCTTTCTTTTTTTTGGTAGAAGAGAGAACAGGTAAATCATATTATCATATCCATTAAGTATAGAAAAGTACAACTGCTAGAGACTGTAGTTTGTCAACGTATTTGAATGGATCAGATCAGTTAACGGTATCTGCTGCTCGCTACGACAGGACAGCGTTGATCTCCGTCAACCATTTGGCTTCCAGATTCTATACTTTCTGAGTCTTTTGACCCTTCCAAGTCAAAACAACCCAAACCCTTTTTTTTTTTTTTTTTTTCCTTTTAAGCATAACTGTTTAATATGAAGTCTTTTCTTAAAGAAGCTAATCATTGGTGGAAAGCATGGTGGGGATGATTTTTAACGGGATAAACAAATAAATAAATGTGAAACTCTTTATTGGTTTTTTAAAATCGATTTAAAACCATTTATTTAATCCTCAAACCTTTGATTCTAACTACGTATTTGCTTAAGTGATCGGATTATTTACAACTGATGCAGTCATTCTTTTTCTAATTGTGAATTGCTTTTTATTGAGTTGTAAGGGTTTTAAAGTTTTATACAATATATTTTGGATGAATTGATTAAGAGGTTTATCTACGTATTAAAAATTATTTTCTTATTATCTTTTAATAAATTTTAATTCAAAGTAGTTAATATAAGAGCAAATTCTCTTATTACTTAAACCAATATTTATGGTACTAATTATGAATAGTTGTATCTTATTTTAGTTGAATAATTTTGATCAAAGGGTAAAAAACCCCCCTCAAACAAAAAAAATAATAATCATTTAACTTCTGAATGTTTTATTGTACTTAATCAAGTCTTAATTTTTTTATTTTGGATAAGTTGAACACTTAAACATTTATATTCATCTAATTAATCCCTTAAATATCTTTTTTTATCTCAATTGAGACCTCAATAAAATGAAAATGGGTGTTGATGATTAATTAATTTTTATCTAATAAAAGTTCAATTGATGAAAATAAATATTTGAAAACTTAATTAATTGCAATAAAATAATAAAAATTTAGATAATTATTGAATTTTTATTTAAAAACTTTTTTATCCCTTAGCCAACAATTTTATATCTCTTTATTTTATAACTTTAGATATTACGGGCGTTGGTTACTTGGCGGTTCTCACAAGATTGGAGTGATCAATGATAAAAGAAACTAATCCAAGGAACTCAACGAGAAGCCTAATAACATATGGGTCAGTTCATAGATCAAGCCCAATAGGATATTATGGTCCTATGCAACATGATAGGCTTAAGCCGAGCCCAAGCTTGTTTTCGTGACCCCATTCATGCAATGTATAATATTGAACCAGGCCAAAAGTTTTAGTAGACTTTGAGTGCATGTCAAAGTCCGTATGATGGGCCAACTTGGGATGGGATTCCTGGCCTGGCTCATGCTTGAAGACGCAGTCACGACTCACGAGCGTATCACGTTGAATTAGTACATATTATTTACATCAAGTAGATAACAATAGTTGATGAAATACAAAAATAATATATTGGAAAATAGAAAAAAAAGTTATTTCTAGAATCATGAAAGTAGGTTAATGGGTTTTTTACGTTTGTTTTTCTTTTGTTTTTAATGGAAGGAATTTAAAATAATGTGTTGCCGCAAGACCAAAGTTGAAAGAGATGTAATGTAAGAGGCATCGCCAAAGTTGATCCATCAATATCATACAGGAGCTTGAAGAATGTATGAATCTAGTATCCATACTATTATTATTACTCTTGATTGAACTAATACTGTCACTAATTAGGTAATTATAAATACTTATTTTTTTTTTTAGATAAGTGAATTTTGATTGATTCTAAAGTTTGATTGTACATTCTATCTTGTTTACGTCTATTTGAACATTTTAATCAGATTTATTTCACGTTTAAATCTAAATAAATTTTGTTTTAGGATCAATTATTCTTAAGCAATTAAAGGTCAATCTAATTCGAACTTCGGCCAATGTCATAAGAATTTCAAAGCCTAATAAAGTCTAAGTTTTATTTTTTGAGCTCAAATTCAATTTTAAAAGCTCAATTTTAATTTATTGAAAATTAATTACTTTAATTAATTGAAAGAATTACAAAAAAATAAAAATAAAAAAGACAGAAGCTTGTCTGCCATGGAACCACCTTTACCAAATCCACTTTTCCCCCCGATTTATCCCCTCATTTTCAACTTTGAAATTTTCACCTTCAATTTTAACTCACTGACTTCAAACACAAATTTATCAAACAACCAATTATCCCAAAACAAGCTCTCACCCCAAGAGTAGCACACTCGTCTGCCCCATGCCAGCAACCCTCTAAAAAACGAGTTTCTAGATTTTTTTTCTACCAAAATTTGAATCCTATACGGGGTGCTACAAGAATGAAAAAGAGAGAGCAAAGGAGGAGACACACAGTGAGGGGAGATCAACACGAGGGAGAAACAAATTTTTTTGGAGTCCAAAAAGCCTTTCCCCAAGCCTTGACTAGAGCCCTTCCATCACCTACAACACCAACTGTTACACCACCAGAGCCCTCCAAACAAAACCTCAATACAGAACCAAATCTCCACCACCTCTGCCCCTTCCAAAGCACCTAAACTAACCATCACAGCCCTATCTCTTACAATCTCTAGCACTCAAATTTCCCCAACAATCAAAATCGAACACCTAAAACAAGCCTAATTGAAATTTTTTACATTTAGAGATGTAAATGATATATTGATACTCATAAAGTACGAAAATTCAATTTAAATAAAGTTCGAATTTAACTCAGTTATTATCGAATCAAACTTGAGTAGTTCGATTGAAATATTTATCGAACGAGTCAATTCGAGCATTCTTATAATCGAATTGAGCAACTCATGAGCTTAATGAAATTTTTATATTTTAATATATTTTAATTATTTTCATTGAAAAAATATATCGAACTCGAATTTGAACTCAAGTACAAATAATTAAATTTTCATCGAATATAAGAATCAAGTTTATTTTTATATGTTAATTAAGCCCAATCAAGCTCAATCGAGTAAGCTTGAGTAGCTCGATTTCTCTTTCGAGTTGAGTTTGAACTAAAAAAAAAAAATTTGATCGAGTTCAAGTCAAATTTTAAGCTTCAAATTTAAAGTTAAACTCGAGCTTGAGCTTAATAATATATCTAACTCAAATTCGATCGATTACACTCTTATCTATAACCACAAAAACTCAAACAAAAAAATTGACTAAGCCAAGACAAACCTTAAGCCCAAAAAAAAAAAAGGGTAACCAAAACATAACGCAAAAAGAATCACATCCCCTTTGAAGAATAGCAAAAAACATTACAAACGTCAAGATTAGAGCTTTTGCTTTAAGGGGTTCTAAGAAGTTTTTACAAACGTCAAGATTAGAGCTTTTGCTTTAAGGGGGTTCTAAGAAGTTTTAGGCTAGGATTTTTTGGGTATAGGTAGTCTATAACAAGGTAAAAAACATAGTCTAAAATAGAGGTAAACGGAGCAGCGAAATGAAGTGTTTTAAGGTGTGAAGTCATGACCTTCGTCTTAGATTTAAGGAAGTCTAGTGGCTTTTAGAAAAATCTAATTAAGTAGGGTGAAAGAGGGGTCAAAAGGATAATTTTGTATTTTTAAGGAATATGTTGACACCAACAAGAGATGATTGGCAGCCAACCGTAGGTATCTAGAAAAAAGGAAGGCTTTTTTTTTTAAAAATTAAGAGAAAATTGATAATTTTTTAAAGAAAGGTTTAGAATGGTTAAAAAAAATGATTTTTTTAGTTAAAAAAGTAAAAAAAACAATGCGTTTTAGAGGTTGGAGACCCGTGCGTCAACCTGATTTGGATTCGAAACCCATGCGACCTATCCAATTTGCCTAAATTGAGGCAAACCCACTTAGATAAATTTAAATCAGTTTGAACTACCCAAACCACTAATAAACTAATTTAAACCGTGAAAAATCACCTTTGAAACGCGCTGAACAACCTCTTAGATTGTTAATCGACGTTGATCGGCTCATTTTGGGTTTTTTTAATTAATTAATTAATTAATTTATTAATGCATGTTTATTTTCTAAATCCCTAAAATAAACATTTAAAAAAATAAAAAATAGTTTTAAAAAGTTTTAAATTAAAGAATTACCTAACTTTTAACAAGTGTTTATATACATGACAAAAAATTAAAATAAAAATAACAACGAAAAATTTTTCAATGATGTGATATTAAGAAATTTCAAGTAGTGATTTTTTAAAATTTATAGGTGATAGTATTTTTTTTAAAACACTACTAAAGTAATAGAATATTTAGAAAAATATTCAATACAAATATTTTTATTTACTTATTTTTCTAAAAAATAATAATAATATAATAATATAATAAAAAAATAAAAAATGATGATGAAAGGAAATTCTAATTTTTTGGTGACAAAGTTATACATAATAATGTATGAATATTATTTACATTTATTAATTTTATTTTAAAAACAAAGAAAGGGGAAGAAACGAAAATGAAAATTTTTTAGGATGAGATTCTTAGGAAGTCTGGATAATAATTTCAAAAAAATCTCTATGTGA